TTATTATTAACACCTATACCTCGATTCTATAGCTGAATCACAACATGTACATGTGTACATCAAACGTGTTAAATTAAAACGCATAAATTCGCTTACCGCAGTGCAAAAGGCCCAGTGCTACTTTTCAAAGCACTTGAATGCACCAAGCTTTGTTATTTCATCAGCATTTTAAGATGTTTATCAGGTTTTGAGTAATGCAACCCAGAAATTGATGACTATGATGTAGATGATATGGGTGTGTGCAATATATATGTATTGAGTAGAGAGCTGTCATATTTTAAAAAAATTTGCAAGTTTAAGTTGGCAGCAAGCTGCTATTATTTGTCAACTAATGTATGGTTTATTTACAATATTACCAGTTGTTGAATTAAAATGTGCAGTGCAGTGTTATGCCTGGGGTAAGATTGGGTTAAACAGCACAGTTGCCCAGCTTGCTCTGAACAGTCCCTCATTTCAGCTTGAGGAGGATAAACCATATTCTGAGGTATATTTTTTATGAATTAAACTACATCGTTTTGCTAGTGACTTTCCTCCAATTTGTTTGCTATTTTTCTTTGCATTCATTATTCAGAATCCTTTTTTTCACAGTTTTGGATGGGAACACATCCAAATGGTCCATCAAAAGTGTTGGAGGAAGAAAAGGAACTGCTGTTATCTGAGTGGATTGATGCAAATGTAGATGTCCTAGGAAACAAAGTTAAAGAGACTTTTGATGACAAATTACCTTTCTTGTTTAAAGTGCTATCCATTAATAAGGCATTATCAATTCAAGCACATCCTGACAAACCTCATGCAGAATTTCTTCATGATAAAAGGCCAGAAATATACAAGGACCCGAATCACAAACCAGAGATGGCAATTGGTAAGGAGCTACATTTATTTAGTAATGCACTGAATGGTTTGAACTCAGGAGGAATAGTTTGTTACATAACTCTGATCATCTGCCTAAAATTAGTCTTAAAAAGAACTGTTTCTGTTGCTTCAGTGACCAATGATTTAATAATTTGAGGAGAAGCAATCATCAGAGTTAGGGTAACTGACTTTTAGTCAGGTCGTGGAAATGTCAAGCCACTGTCATTGATAACAGATCTTTTCAGGACTGCTCTCTCTCATAGGAAAAGACAAATTGATCATTCATTACTGTTAGCTGGCTAAGGTAGGCTGACATAGAGTTTGGTACAAAAAGAAGACAGACCCTAGAGTTAAACTAGTGCATGTTTTTTCATGCTTACCAATGTATTTTTGATTTAACAATATCCTCATTGAAGTTATAAGCTATTTATTGATATTTCATCTAACTTAGCATTAATTCTCTCAAATTTGTTAAAAATAGCACTGACCCCATTTGAAGGCCTGTGTGGTTTTCGTCCTCTTGATGAGATGCAGGAGTTTGTAAAGACAATACCAGAACTTGCTGCTGTCATTGGACAGGAAGCCACTACTGCTTTGATCACCGGCACAGGTTTGTGTGACATGTTGCATAATGTATGTACCTTGCAGCTGTTTTCTTTTATACATTAATGATCTTTTTCATGTCTCCAACTTCTTGTCTATTATTCTCTTTGCTGATGATACAAATACCTTTCTTCGTCATAATGACCTGGCTACCTTAGCAACCATTCTCAATGTAGAGCTCTCTCATGTTTCTTCTTGATTTAATGCTAACAAACTCACTTTTCATCCTGCCAAGGCTAATTCATCATTTTTTACCCTTGACAGAAACAAATTAACTCCTCAGATATAAAGTAACATACTTATAAATAAATTCTCTCATCATGTGTGTGCAGGAAGACAAATTTCCTGGGATTGTCATTCTTGAAAATTTACCTTGGAAACTGCACATCTCTGCTGTCTGAGATAAAGTCTCTAAAGTAATAGGAGTCTTGTGCAAGTCAAGGCAATACTTACCTTATAATACTTTGAAAACCTTATATAATTCTCTTTTCTTACCTTACATAAATTATGGCAGTTTAGTATGGATGTCTACTTATGCTTCTCCTTAAACTCCTTTATGTACTTCAAAAGAAAGCCGTTTGTATAGTTACTTTTTCTCCTCCACGCACATTCTCTAAACCCCTTTTTTCTAACTAGTTGCCAAGTATTGTATCTCAATTGTAAGTTTTTTTTTTGTCTGACCTTTTATTTCTTGGTTTAATTGTATTGTAATTATTTTAGTTAAAGCTTTCGTCTACTCTTATAATTTCTTCACATCTTTAGCTGACCTAAGGCCATTTAACCCCCCAGCTTTGGCTCTTCTTGTGTATTTTTTCTTCCGATGTGTGAATAGCAGCAATAAATAAATGAATAAATAAGTAAAAAAAAAACATGGTTTTTACAGGTCACAGAAAACCAGAAAGTTTGTGTAATTTAAGGGTGGGTCATAGAGCAATAAGGAAAACTTTGTGCTGCAACAACTTATTTATGAAGGCTGATAGTTTCGAAAGAAACTGTTTGGGGCTGCGTCAGTGGGGGTAACAAAATAATTTGGATATATCAACAAAGTTGAAATGGTAAATTGGCCACCGTAACGATTACAAAAGCTGATGTTTCGAGCGTTAGCCCTTCGCTCCAACGAAGGGCTAATGCTCGAAACATCAGCTTTTGTAATCGTTATGGTGGCCAATTTACCATTTCAACTTTGTTGCTATATCCAAACAACCTATTTACTCTGGGCACTCACCCAAGTAAATGACCATTGTAGTGTGATTTTCTCATCTTTTCTCTACAGATCCTTTAGCACTTATGAAAGCTTTTACTGCCCTCATGACAAGCAACCAAGATGCCATCAGTGAGCAGCTAAATAAGCTATTGTTAAAACTCCAAGAAAGGAAATCAGCAGGCCATGACATCTCTGACCAGTGTGGGGAGCTTCTATTCAGATTGAACAGCCAGTTTCCTGGAGATGTTGGTTGTTTTTGTATTTATTTCCTTAATCACATCATTCTTCAACCTGGGCAAGCAATGTTCCTTGGTCCCAATCTGCCTCATGCATATCTAGCTGGTGGTAACTAATCTATTTTTCTACTTTTGATCAAAACGTTTTTTTTTTCAATTAATGACCAAGTTTAAAGTTTACCATCTTCCTCTGTCTGTTAGAACAAATGTCTTTTTCACAGATTATACCATCCTGCTTATCACAAGGGTTTCAACAGATCATAATCTTCTGATTTATCAAGATTCTTAAATTATCTTTGTTCATTTATTAACTAATGTGTTTTTTGGTTAACTTTGTTTTTGTCACACCATAAGATTGTTGACATTGTTTCTGGATGGAAGCACTTTTTTCTTTGTTCAGAATTTATTTGGTCTTTCATCAATTTGCTTACATGTATTTCTTGAGTGACTTACTTCCTCACTGAATATTGGTTTGTTCGTTAATTCAATTCATTCACCTCTTCCTCCCTTTCTGTAACTCTGTTTCAAAAACAACTTGGGATCCAAAATTTATCATTTATAACCATACACCAATGATTATCACACAAAAAATATATGTTTTCTTTCTTTTTATTTTTTAATTTATAATTGGTTTGTTTTATTTTTCAGACTGCATGGAATGTATGGCGTGCAGTGATAATGTTGTACGAGCTGGACTAACACCAAAGTTTAAGGATGTTGACACTCTCTGTGAGATGCTAGAGTATAAGTGTGGTTCTAAGGAAGAGAATATTTTCCCATGTCATCAAGATCCAACTGATTCATATGTCACAATTTACGATCCTCCTGTGTCAGACTTTGCTGTTGCAAGAATTCAGGTACATTTACCACCGTCAATGGCATCATTTTGTAGAAGAGGAAAAAATGTTTTTAGAACTTCTACATTATCACTGGCCAGCTTTAGTTCTTACTTATAAGTGGCAGCTAACCAGATGTTATTTTCAAACCTTTATCTTTTAAACACCACAGAATTTGTGAAGTACCGCTAATTTATTCCTTTGCTAAACTGTTTATGTGCTTAATTATGTGCAACTGTGTCATTTTTAGATACCTGCAAGTTGTCCCTCATACAAGATCAAAGGATTAAGTGGACCCAGTATTGCTGTGCTGATATCTGGTTCCGGTGTTGTGGAAAATGCTGCTTCGAATATTCTCTTGAAACGAGGAACTGTACTTTTTATTCCAGCAAACACAACCTTTGATTTAAAATGTAGACAAGAAGACATGGAAATATACCGTGCTTATTGTGTGTTGTAAATATATCAAACAGCTAACAGTCCAGTTTAATTAATTTTTATTTTTTTCAGTTTTTATTGTTCCAAGGGACAAAATAGAGGTTTCTGTAATATTCATTAGGTATTGTTCATCATCACTCTGATTATTTTTAAACTTCAAGAAAGTGAATGGTCATGACGGAACAGATACTTCAAAATCAGGTTTCCGAGTTAGGACTGGAACTGAATAAGTTATTTTTTCAGTAAACAATTGGGTAAATAATTTATTTAGTTCCAGTCCTTACTCTGAAACCTGATTTTGGTCATGACCAAAAATGAATGGTTTAAATTTAAAATTTGAGGAAGTAGGCAAATATGAAAATTCTTTATTTATTCTTCTATTTAGATTTAACTTTAAAGGTAAACAATCTTGTTTTGTCCAATATAACAAGCTCTGAATTGAACAAATTGATTGAGAATAAAAAAGTTGACTTCTAGCTTTGAAACATGGTAATTCAATAAGAGTCAAAAGAAGTATATGAGTAATGGTTTCTTGCACTGAATAATTACAGCTCTTTTGCTCATTGCATTTCAAGTTTGTGTAGATAACATCTAAATTTCCCAGGCTAATAGAAGATAGGAATGAGATGAACAGGAATTTCACCAATAATTCATTTTGGAAATAATTTCTCTGATGCGAGGTTCAGTTTTTTCCATTAGAAAAAAATTGAATGTGTTGTTGTGTCCTTTCTTTCAAAAGAAAGTGATCAATTGATGGCTGATATTCTAAATGAAATCCAATGTTAGTGCAGTGTTAAATATTTTTGTGACACTTGGAGTTGAAAATGTTTTGTTAACACTTATCTGCTGGATAGCAATTTATCCATTGGATAGTGTTATCTGTCATTAAAACAACCTGGCCCTGTTGCCAGCTTTTTGGTTTCCCAAATCAAACCCAACTTTTGAATTTAAATGCATTGCAGGCCTATACTAATGTAGTGGAACGGCCCAGCCAAAAAAATTATGAGTGGTTATTGGTCTATACGGAATATTTTACAATAGAAACAACAAAAACAACAACGTCAACTTTGTGGCATTTACCCCGCCAGTGATATCTCTATCGAAACTGAGAATGGTTTCTCCACCCACCCCTCCCCGATAGGCCTTCTTTGACTAGCCAATCAAACGCCCAAACGTGTGTTGAAAATTTTCTTCAGTTTATCTCTTATGTATGAATAAAAATAAAAGAATATCGTTCTTTCGTGCTCGGATAAAAATAAAGAGGTAAACTAACTGTTGGAAAAAAGGCACGAAATTATTAAATCCTAGCGCCGAGCCTGGATATCGAATCTGTTGCATCTCTCGAAAGAAAGAAGCCGTGTTTATTCATCTGTTGGGTCACATGTTCAGCAAGAGCCAATCAGAATTCGTGATGGCGAAGACTTACGTCACATTCTGTGAGCTTATCTTTCGTCTTCCTCTACGTTCTACCTTTGTTGTGGTGCGGTTGAAAGCTACCTTGAGCCTCGTAGACGCGATCAAAAAGTCCTCTGAAGATGCCAGCCAAGCAGCGAATGCGTGTTGCCAACGAAAAGCACAGCCAAAACGTCAATACGAGAGGAAATGTACCAAAATCATTAGTGAGTAGGACGTTTTGTCGCGTGAAAAAAAATCCTCATCAGCTACTTTGACGCTCGGGAACATGAAACGTTTGCTATTTCGCTAGGTTGGGAACTTAAATCTTTTTATATCTTTAGAAACCACAAGAAGAGAAATATCCTGTCGGTCCTGTTCTTCTTGGACTCTTTATTTTCGTCGTATGTGGGTCAGGTAAGAGTACATACAAAATGTGGTTTTAATTTACGCGTCTGTGATAGCTTTGATTCTTCATGATGCGTCGTTCGTTTTAGATTCATGGCATTAAAATCTTTTGTCGTTATCATTTTAACTGACTGTCTCCTTTACTTTCTTCCCCAGCAATTTTCCAGATCATCCAGAGCATTAGAATGGCATAGCTTAGAGAACATGAAAATTTTGACTGGAGAGGAACTACTCTATGTTGCTTATACATTACATGTTTGATAGGGATTGACTAGAGAAATCTTGTGAACGTGGTAAATCTATTTCTTTTCGAAACTTTCCTTAAATTGTTTATTGTAATTCGTTCTTATCGCACAGATTCAGACTATTTTGTAAACAAGTGTTGGCTTTTCAACTGTACTTCATCACGTATAAGTTCTGGTTGGATCGATATAAGATTTCGTAGTATTTTCTTACAGTGTCGCGGAGAAAATTCGTAGTAAATACATGGTGATCATGAAATTAACATGTAAATCTATTGAGGACTACTCAAGCTCTCTCTAAAATATAAACTTCACAAAGATACTTAATGTGAATAAATTTGATTATTTACTAGACACCCTGTCTTGATATATACGTCTGGAAAGTGATTTTAGCAGGAAGTAACTTATTTCGAATCAAAGTTATAGGTGAACCGCCTTGTGTGTGTCTTTTATCACAGGAATTCCCGGATTCGACAAGAGATTTTTGTGTGGTACCAAGTGCTTAATGCCAATACCAAGACCAAATTAGAGAAGTTTTGGAACTAAGACCATGAAAAGCTCAACTAAAAAAGCTTTGTTTAGATTTCCAAGATTTTCAAGACCAGTTTTCAGATTTCTTGACTCACAGTCAACTGAGTACCACTTTAGTCCATGTGTCATATGACGATGACAATTTTGTCAGGCAGTTTCAAGGGGTAGGCTACCTTTTTCAAAGTATGTGGTTTTTGTTGGGCTACTCACCCTAAGTTTGACTTATGTGCCCTCAAAAATGAGGGTCATCAAGGAAATGAAGTTTATCATCCACATTCCATGAAACACTGATCGACACAGTGCCCCACACATGGGTTGAACACCTTCAGGATGAAATGTTCATCTCATGCCAACTGACAGAAGTCTACCACAAGATTTTTGTTGATGAAAGTTAGAACAAGAGAACATCCTCAATGTCTGAATAAAATGGGACTTGGTCCATTAAAATTCAGCCAAAGAATTCTGTGATCTGCAATGCCTGATGACCTCTCTGTGGTCAATTTCTTCAACCTCACAAAAAAAAACTTACAATATTACAGCTGTCACTAACAGAGGTACTACAGATCTGGCAGAAAACCAATGCAAATTCATGAAGAGGAATGGAAAAAAATCTTGATGGGAATAGCCACCCAACAGATTCCACATTAACCCTTTTACCCCCAATACGCAGATTGTAATTCTTTATAATGACTGCCATACATTTCAGCCCTTGTAAATTAGTTGGGAGATTTTGGTGTCATATCAAGGTCTCACTTTCCAGGAGATAAACTTGTCTGTTCTCACAATCTGTTTTAAATATATTGTTTTGGTATCACAGAGGGAAGTTACCTGTTCATCACTTCTGGGGTTTGGAGAGTTAACCTCTGATGCTGCACTAACATAGCTTAAAAGAGAAATACCACAATTTGAAACATCAATGTCAAGATTGTTTTTATTGTTACTGTTTGTGGTATTGGTAGTATCAAGGACTCCAGAGAGATATGAAAATGCTTTGACTAGAGAACAAAGAAATTGCTCTCAACAGACATCAAAGGAAAACTTGAGAAGCAAAAAGGTGAAGCTTACCTAAGAAGTAAATTCAACAGCTTTACCATTTTCCAATTAGAATAAATACAAATTTGTTACTAGAGTAGCTGTAACTTCTTAATCTGTGTAAATCAGCTTGTCTCAAAATAATGTAGCTTTTTCCGGGGACAATACTTTCAATTTCTATTTTACAGAGAAAAATAAATCTATGTTTATAAGGTTATCACAACCATTGTAGAACTCTGTACCACTGTTACTCCAATGAGCTCATGGCTGTGGATGTCACAATGTTCATTCATAGCCATAGCAGCCTTTAATAACTTGAACAAATTAAACATATCCAGGATCAATTTCAATGCATCTTCTTTAATTAATGTTGTATTGAAAAAAACTCTGCGAGATAATATCAGTTTTGTTGATAGTGCATTGCCTTGAGTCCACCATTGACTTAAAAATCTTGTGAAGAATCTGTCCAAAAGAAATTCAAATCTAACTGTTACACTCAGAAAACTATGAACACCTGATAAATTTCTGGAATATATATTGTGTTAAGTCTGTCATAATGGAGATCAGGACACACCAGAATTCCACAAAAACACTATTTAGCATCAACTAAATTTTCTTACATTCCAAAATTTGGCTTGCTCTCTGCCACACAAATACAATCAAAAATATTTCCAGTGTTCACCATTTTCTGAGTGTCAAAGTAGCTAAGTGTTTGTAACATCAACATTCTTGCTGAGAAAGCAATGATCTTTGAAACTAAACTTCTTCCTGTTCAAAGCACACTCAGACTAATTACCAATTTCAGTTTTGTTACTTAGCAGGAGGCTTTTTCCTTGTGGTATATTTTATTCTTTCCACACCACTTTCATTACTATCACACTCCACAAAGTGTTCATAGACAAAGAAAAATTTTTTTCCAAAAGTATTATGACCAAGAATTCTTAATGCTGCAGATGATGTGCAGCTCTCAAACCTGTTACTCCTAATAATTACTGTTTCAATAATTATTACTGAATTTCTCAGTCTGTAACATACAAGCTTTTACAAAACTAAGGCAGTAATGAATGGACAGGCAACTCTTTCTTCTTTGCTGTTAGTTCAGTTGAAAGATAATTTTCCCCAAGAAGAGCCTTTGTAAGGGTTACTCACTCTTCAGAGGTAGTCAGACCTGACCTCAAGAAACCAAAACTTCCTCAATGTAGTAAACACTGTTTTGTAAATTGCTAGCATTTCTGTGATTCACTTGGCTTTTGATGATCAAAGTTCCAGCATTCTATGTCAAGTCTGGAGTTGAACAGTCCAGACATATTGACATGATGTATGGCAATCCAATTCTGGAGGAATCTTGCATCAGCTTAAACTCAACTTGGAAAAGCACACTGCTTAAATAAACATCTTGGTACAATCTATACCACATATATCTCCAGGAGTCAGTCAGAGAACATGATGCTACAAAATGGTAATTCAGCCTCATAACTATCAAGTCTGGTGTTGTCCAAAGAGCAGGTCTCAGGTGGAGTCTATTGTCACGTAGATGTTTTCCTGTTTACATACAAGTTCCGTAATTTTTCATTTTCTAGCTTAAGTTCTTGATTCTCCTCAGTAAGTTTAGAAATTGTTTCTTTTAATGTCTGCACTTCTTTATTCACCACACTTAAGAGGTCTGACTTGATCTGAGTAATTTGTTCCTGAAAAGCAAAATGAAGCTTAATCATTACTCTTTTAAAGAACAAAGACATCTTCATCTCTTTGCTATTATCTGGGGAAAAAAAACAACAACAACAACAACAACAACAACAACAACAAACACCCAAGAGGGAAAGTTCATCTGGGACACCACTCTTAAAAAGTGAAAGAATACCTGATGGTTTTTTTTTTTTTCAAGGGGGAGTGATCAGCCCACAGATCACCATGCCCGAGTTGAAGACATTTATTTCAGCAAAGTGTACTCTTACCAAGATATCAGTCCAAACTCATCAACAAATACCCTTTTCTTGGACTGACATTATTTAAGCAAATAGAAGATGCTAAAACACAGTCAATTTTAATGGTTTCTGATGGCTCTTACATGTAAAATGGTATTTGACAATGTTAGGGGTTTATTAACAAAGACACATTGCATTATTAGAGGAAGATATTAAACTTATCCACACAGGACCCAGAAATATATGCAGACAAAATAATCAGCAATTTGCCATGTTACACAGACAGCATTGAAAGGATGAAAGGATGAAAGGACATATATTTTAAAAAAGTCAGAGCTTGCCTTTAGAGAAATTGTCCCCTGAATTATCCCATGTAACTAACAAGGACCTAACCACTCCTCAAGAACCTCTCTGTTCCTAAAAACTACCTGTTCAATCAATGTCTATCATAAGAAAGAACTATCATAAGAAAGAACTATCATAAGAAAGAACTATCATAAGAACTCCTTCAGTGAGAATTGTGGCAAAGCGATGTAAGACCCTTGTCTAGAATAAGATCTCCATCTAACGTCAAAAAATTTAGAGGGAAATATGTTAAATACCTACCATTGCTGAGGCAATTTTATTGACAATGGGTAACTCAGCCTCAGTGTCTGCCACACTGAAAGATTAAAATTCACAAGAATATGACACATCAATATACAGAATACATTCAGAAAACTATTGGTAATTAAATAATTCATGTTTCATAATGAATCACTGATAAGAGTTGGCCCAATAAGCTTGTGATTTTAGTTATTCAAATCCACCTCTTATTTACATTATTTTTGACTTCAATGAATTTGAAAAATATAATTAACAAAGAAAGTAATGATAAAACTTCACAAATGTGTGTTTCTAACCAATACACATGTTCCACTTCACAACATTTTAATTGTACGTCTTACAATGAGTAAAACATGCTTTTTCCACAGGAGGTTACTTTTATACAAGGGACAAATCCACATACATGTTACGTTTGCTGAGTAATGCCTGACATAAATTCCTTTCATCATTATATTTGTGGGTAGATTACTTAAGTCCAATGTATCTTGCTAACATATTTTCATGGCCTTAGGTTATTAACTTTTTTGTAAAAACAACAAACATCACTTCATCATCCTTGGCCAAGCTGTACAAAAATTATTGGATCTTTACTCAGCTGGCTTGAGTGACAGATGAGGCACTCAATCAAAAAACCTAAAATGTTGATAACTCTTTAAAAGCCAAATTCTTTAAAATCCTTTTCAAATCAGCTTTCCTCGACTACACTCACTATGTCCAGATACGTCGCATTAGAGATAAATGAGAACAAACTTGCATCACTATTAAAATAAAGACAAAAAAAGGAACTATTTCCTTAGTATACATCCATCTATCTGCTTTTTGAAGCATCTGTTAACATCCAAAGATAGACACTGTGTCTTGTTATAATATTAATATATCATTTTATGTCATACTGAATAATTGATGAAAGAAAATCAGCTTAGCAGCAGTGAAGGAGATGCAAGCAGAAATGTGACGACTGCATGGTCAGGAATTAAAAAACCCATATTTCAGTTTTGTTTACCCACTGATATCTTGCACAGTGTCTTGAAATAAAACCAAAAGTGATCATAAATGAAAAGGCAGGGAGCAATTATAAGTGTCCACTGAAGTTTGAATTTCTTTTCCCAATACTCATACAACAGAGTAATAAAACAGGCATGCTTAATATCTGAAACACCAGTCTATATTTAGTCACTGCAACAACAAAAAGGTAATCAAATGCCTTTTTCAGTAGCCATCGATATTTTTGCCAAATATTGCTCTTTGATGCCAAACAAATTACCTTGACCTACTGTGGGTCTATATAATATGCTTTCTTACAATTGGCAAAGTCTTGTCTCATTGCAATAATCCTTTTCAAACCCAACCAAGAGAGAGACTTATATTTGTTACAGATCTGCATTACCTTTGTTACAATCACAGCATGAAAAATATCCAAATACTGCTCAACATAGTTTATTGAACATAACCAATGAAAATAAAATTAAAACAAAGCTCTGAAATGCTAGCAAGGTTTGGTATCTATATATGGAGGGAAAGACAATTACCTTTTTGTGATAAACAAAACTAAAAATTGATTTCAACTTTCATACTGATTTTAATTATTTTCATATTTGGTTTCTATTCATATAATTTTGAAAATTGGCTTTTCTGGCCCATTTAACACAGGGATGTTAAATAACAACTTCTTACGAAGAAACTTAGTCCAAGAAAGTAGCAAAATAACCCACTAAGAGATCTGGATGTGGCTTTAAAATATTATGATCTTCTTAAAAAATGCATTGAACAGCAAGGCTTTGAAAAATATAGTTTTACTTTACTTCCATGATATTATTAAAATATAGTGTAAGACATAATACATAGAATGTAGCATTTAAGGGCAAGAAAAATGCCTGTTTGGAATAACGCGTACCCATCTTGCAATTTCAGTGGAAAAAACGAGAAATAAAACTTTAAACCACAGTTGTTAAACAAAGAAGATGCTGGACAGACGAACCTTTAAATAAAACAAATCATACCTATAAACTGAAATGAAGCAATTTCTCAAATGCAAAACATTTGCGGCTTTTTATGGCTCTTGATTTCTTCTGTTTTGGAATTGCAAAGCTCAAACATTTCGTAATTGAATATGGAAACTGGCGTTTTCCCCTGCACAACTACGATAGGGTCGAATAGTTCTAAGCGATTTTCTCCCGCACATTTCTTGCTGACCAAATTTTCTTAGTGATCACGACAAAAAAGTTTAGATAGTTAAACATTGAAGGAATGAATTCTTTCGTTTCCCTAAATTATATTCGGTACAAATATTCATCGACATCGTCATTCAAACAAGAATATACTAAAAATAGCAAAAGACGATGAAATAAACAATGTACAAGCTCTCAGCAAAACTAAAGCTGTTTGTATTGTTAATTAAAAAATATAGCTCGGTTCAATTCACGTGAAAATTATACAAAATGTAAATAACAAAGGGAAACTACAAATCAAATCGCATTTTACTGCACTTCCAGGGAGTAGGTCAATTCATTCTAAAAAACCCTATCGCTGCAGTCTGGATTATTAACGAACCGCAAAAATGATCCAAAAGATACACTGCTTATGGTTGGCATTGATCGAGGTATAATGTTCAAACAAAGAATTTATGAACGAGTAAACCGCGAGCAAATTACTAAGCCGTCTGGGAAAAAGAACATCAATAAATCATTGAGTCAGAGAGAGTCAGTAACTTTTAAAACTGCTATTTAGGACTTTTTGAAGTGAAAAGACGGGGAGAATGTATCCATTTAAGAAAGGCCCCCTAAAGATATCTGTGGGCAATTACTAAACCCGATCTCTTGTGAGAGATCGCTGGGGACATTGAAATCGATTTCAAAACCACGTTGTACCACACGGGTAGCTCGCTATTCAAATTTCTCTTACCTTGCGGCGGCGACAGCGATCGGCTGCGCTCCTTCAATCGATGGCGATGCTCTGTCTGAAGTATCCAAAGCTGACGATGAAACTCTGGCTATTGAAGGATCACTGTGTTTTGCAAATTCGTTAGGAGCCCCTAATCTCGGTTCTGAATCCTTCTTTTTGACTGCCACAACCGCTTCACTCGAACTGGAATTTTGTTCATTTACTTGCGTGGTAAATTTCACAACAGAGCCATGAGTTTGAGAATCTAACAAATGCGAGTCCGTTTCACTAGTAGGGTGATTTCCAACAGAATTGCTTGTAATGTTAATCTTTGTACTTGAAAAAGATTCTGTTTTGTCCGTGCTGTCTTTCGACACATGGGTAGAAATATTAGTAGAACTCGCTGCAGAAACACTACCCGAAGAATTCTGGGCAGATTCCGCATCAGGATAATCATGACATTTCCATCTACCGCGTACAAAAGATTCATTTCTTTGAATTTTGACTACTTTGAACCTAGATCCACCATTCCCATTTGCAGTTCCAGGATCTACAAAAGGATCAAGCTCTACTTCGACTTCATCCACTAAATCGCTTTCGTTCAAATCTAGTTCGCCATCGTATCCATTACTATCGCCACGGCTGGGAATTTTGCTTTCGGTGACACTGGTAATTTGAAAAGAACTCTTTTTCTTGTGAGCAGGATTTGGTCCCGTAGAATTTCCCACTGATGGAGGCCGAGTTGGAACTCTAGTTTGAGAGTTTGAAGACGAAATGGCAACCTCTACTTCTGAAGAGCGAACCGCCTCCTTACCATGCGGAGCGCCATGTCCGCGTTGATGTTCGCTCATATCATTGTCGACTCCCTCGGCCATGAATCAACTAGAGATGTTGCAATGAAAACATGATGTGGGCCAACAATGTGAAAATCTCCATGCAAAAAATTACGGAGAAAAAGCTCACATTTTAGCCGAAAACAACCTACAAAGTCAAGTAAAAAAATGGCGACCCTCCATCATAACGCCTCACGAGCGACCTCAGACATGACGTCCTATTCTGTGACCGAGGCAGCCAATCACAAAACTTGTTGCCATATTTGGTCCAGGCTCACCTCGAAGATTCATGGAGCGCGGTTTGCCGGTTTCATCGATAGCAAGAATCCGTCACATTATTTTCAAAATTTTCCCAAAATAGCCGTCTTGATTCCCGAATAAATTACTTATCTTCATATTATTTATTCACTCGTCCATTAAATTTTATCAATGAGGTAATCTTACATCCACCGTTAAAAACGAAAATTTATCGACTTTTTCAGTAGTCCAGCTTCCTTACAGATTCGTTTATACAGTACCAGTTATCTCCAAGAACAACACTCGTGTATGATCATCATTCATTCGTCGTCAGTCACGAGATGTTTGATCCAGTAAAAATGTCACCAATGGTGATTTATTCATGAAAATACAAATATACATCGTTGGTCATAATCAACCAAAAAAAGCAAATTATCATGTCAACGACATTCGCGGCGAGGCTATTAAGTTGAGCCGCCCATTTCCTCAAATTTTCTTATGTATGCCTCAAATTAGCCTAAAAGAAAATAAAGTTGAGTTTGAAATCGACTGAGGGAGCTGATAAATGTATTTTCTTTCACTGACACTTAAGAATGGCAATTTATAACAGGAGAGTATAAAAAAGCGAAAAAAGATCGCTGTCAGTATCAATGCAACGGGGAAAAATAAATAAAAGTATCGAGAAAAAACTAGAGAAATATTGGCATCAACTATTCTTTGCTGTGGTGATTAATAGAATAATCTGAAACGCAAATGAAAGAATCCCCTCATGAAATCATGAATTCTAAATTCCCTATTGAGGCACTAGTCCGATTAAAGAATATTTGGCTTAAAAACGTCGACAGGAAATGCCAGTAAAATACTACGAAAGGAAAAAGATTGTAAAAACCATTTTCCTGTCGGAAAGCAAAACTGAAGGCATGAATGTCAAAAACACAAAAACAAATATAAGAACAAGTTTTCCTAAATTTTAACTCTCTGACGTTAATAAATTATCACGGATTGGCGTATTTCGCCACTATTTCGACTCAATATTGCATTGCCCGGAGCTAAGGTGAGGCCCACATCTGTCATCTTAAGAACATCTCTTGATACTATGTTTTTAGCCTCAGTACTTTGCTACTCAAATTACCCCCCACTAAGCCTTATATGCAGCTCTCTCGTATTACAGGAAAAGAAATAAAATTTGGAGGAAAAACAATTTGGACCAATAGATTCTCAGGAGATTACTTAATCGTGATGTTTGGGAATCTCGTATTAAAATACGCACAACATGAACACTGATACAACAACAACAACAACAACAACAACAACAAACAATTATAACTGCAAAATGATATTAAAAAGTCACCGCTTCTCTTAATTCAAATTATGTCAATTCTGAATCTAAATGTTCTCACATGAAGCTTTCTCAGTTTCTAAAATCTTGTTTATTTTCAAAATGTCTGGCATTCGAAACTATCCTGATATTATTATAAAGACGATACAATCCTTTGATTTCTCGTCTTTATAATAATAATTTAAACATATTTATTCGGAGGATTGCTGCATCAGTTTTATAAAATTTGCTATTTTATATGATCTATTTAAAATAATCGCAATAGATCTAATGAGAAATTCTCTTAATCATGTGGCAGACGCCGGTAGTCGATTCAAAATTGGAGAAAATAGATCCGATCATTAGGGCCAGTATGTAAGCAATCAAGATTGGAGAAGCATGTTTCTGAAGTGACCCAGCATCTTCATAAAATAGATACTCTTTAAGTTTTCAGAATGTTCAGTAAAATGCGTTTTTTTCAGCCACTGCCCGTCTCTGGGGAAACTTAAAAGTGAGAAACCATACTGGAAAACCTGAAAAACCTGTTATTGTTATTGTTGCTGTTGTTGTTGTTTTTTTTTTTTATTGATTCTGGTTTATACCGTAGTCACTTTAACCGTTATGATTTGGAGGTTAAATATTTAAGAAATTGCGCTTTCCCAACGAGTCCTTCCCTTAGCAAATTAATATACAATGTAAAACCTTCACACTTTTACAGTTTATTGAACTAGATATTTTGCAATTAGAATTCGTATGTGACATATACCTTTCTCCAAAATAGCAACGATTCTTATTCTTAATTATATCATATTTTTGATTACCCCCTCTTTGCCCTGATCGCATCTTCAGATTTCAAAAGAATTTTAGCAGCGTCACAAAGAAAGAAAGCCATACTTTTAAAATAATAATTCCAAACAGGAGCCCATTAGGGGTTCCTGTTCCAAATTGATTCTACCATTTTAATAGTGACGAGACTTCTGAGGTGACCTTTAGCGCGCTAGCTGAAAGGTTTCTCAAAAACTCTTTCGCATGGATGAAACATTCGTAAGTCAGACTTTCGAAGCATTGCCTAAAATAAAAACTTATTCAAATCAGATGTCGAGCTGATATGAAACCGAGATTCACCATTTTCAAAGTTTGATTGTCAAGTGTTGACCATGATCACTGATGACTGATCGCATTTGATGTAGGTGGAATATTTAGGGACAATATAGCAGGCTATCTTAGGGCATTTGTCCGTCAGTCAGTCCCCAAGCTAATGCTTATTGTTTATCGCTGAAATATGATTGATAGGTTGGTTTTATCAATTTGACGACGGAATCCATTGCACTTGGCCTGGGGGTTAACTGAATGACTTGGTCGACTAACCTTCTTACATTCTTTGTTTTTTACCAGGGTTACTGGCTTTATTCATATCAAAGTTCAAGAGAGTATTTCAATTGTCAAACAAAAATACTGAATTATGAATTGCAATTTCTAGTCAGGAAAAAGAGGTATAAAGAATTATATATTTACAACTAAATGTCCATGCCGAAAGTTTAATATCGCATGTATTAAACGCCAGTCTGAAGCCGGTTTTTTCGAACACAATAATTTTCGCCACACTTCCACACCAGATACTGTTAGTAGCTGAATAAAGAGGAGTTAAAGGTGAGTGCCAAGTGATTCTTTAATTTCTTTTTCTTGCAAATTCCGAATAATTCGACTCAATTCAGCACTTAGTCGTGAGTTAATGTGGACGCGACGGCAAACCGCAGGCATGTTTCCGACTTTTTCTTTATCATGCTCTCACTGTGGTTATGAATGTTAATTTTTAGATGGGTTCCTGTTATTTTATGGAGAAATGGTCCTTCCCTAAAGTTATTGCTAGATTCGATTTCGCTAAACTCGAGTTATATAACTGGACACTGAATTAATTTACCAAATATGATTGGTCAATTTGATAGAGATATATTATTGATCTTCGAGAGTATATCCACGGAAGATAGCGTGAGGAAATGAGTAGACGACCTCTAACTGAGTCGTTGCCGGTTCACCGCAAAGACGGTTGCGCTTCACGCGTCTTTGCGCCATCAGTTTTTAAATGGCCTCCGGTGTCAGCTATTAGTATTTGACGGAAAAAGTATACATGTATGACTTATGACATATCGGTTGTTGTAAACTTTTATGAAAGTCAACCGAAGTTCCTCAGCACACAGCGCTTGAAGCACAAACAAAAAGTGCGCTGAAAAGACTTGTGTTCTGAACTCTCAACACCATCAAAATCTCAGAGGAACATTGCTATTTGATCGAATTGAACTCGGTTTTGTTTTACGACATTTGTAAGAGATTATAATCTCTTGAAGACATTCGTTTACCATAGGATAACATTCATTTTGTATTTCATAAATAAATTCTAGTATTTTTGTTCAGTGGTTTACAGAATCATTGAGATCCAAGTGTGCTGCCTTAGCTTTAGTTACACATCGGCCGTATCCATGGCTCTACGAAAACTCAGCTGAAAAAATTTCCAAAGCAATTCTATCCCAAGTTTAAAAATTGTGAGAGTCTAGGAATTCCCATAAAACTATTCTTGTAAAATTAAACTTTAAAAACGTGTGCAATCAATCCTTTACTGAACTGGTACCAAACCCTTTATTTCATATTTCGACAAAATATAAACCTTTTTTCCAAATAAATTACGTTAAAGATATAACAAGATTTTACAAATAAACCGAACAATTAGGGCAAAACTTAATTTGTCTTATCTTCTGGATTATCAATCAATTATTACGCCTGTTGTATGTTCATATATTAATTATTTCGATTATCAAAAAAATAATACATTTTAGTAAATAATTAAACGCTCATTTTTATGTTGGATATGTACGTTTTGGTTTCATAAATAGCTATTCCGATCTTCGAAAATGAGGAAGATGTAACTTATCTGGCAAATGCGGGCAAAACGCATTACAAACGCAGTTTGAACAAAGTTTCTCTCTTCATTTCCTACCAGGCTCAAGCTTTAGGCCCTGTTTACAAGCAAGTAGGGTAACCCTAGTGCTAGGGTTATCCTGGCAGGAGGGTTACCCTAACGCTCCCACATTTCTTCTTTTTTTCATCGACGTGTTTACAAGGCAGCTAGGGTTACCCTAGCACTAGGTTAACCCTAGCTGAGCGCTAGGGTTATCCTAGCGCTAAGGTAACCCTAGCTGCCTTGTAAACGCTCTGCTGGGGATAACTCGCCTACCCTGGACAACTTTTTACTTGTTTTCAGACCCTTTGAACATTGATAACAATGCGTGCGGTTACCAAGCATACGTAAGTTGTCCCGGGTGCTAGGATAACCCTACCTGTGAGATTTTGCTTGTAAACCAGGGCTATCTTTGACCCGCCTGCTATGGTAACCCTAGCACAAGGGTTACCCTCCCTGGTTGTAAACAGTGCCTTAGTGTGCAGCAGGCTTAAGTAAACAACTGAGTCTAAATGTTTTGACGAATTGAAATTTGTCGTTCATTGAATGACTTGTTATGGAAGATGAAGGCATTTGAGAGAAGGTGCAATAAAACTTTGGTTTACTTGCATTCGTATTGTTAGAATAATGCAGCTTAAAACACGTAAAAGATGAGAGAAAGAAGTAAACTTTGTTTATTCTAAGTTATGTCAACTGTAGGGGTATCGTCGTCCTACCTGCGGGTCGAAACACTACTCTAGTGTCGATGCTATTTCCCAACGGGTATGGGCTTCCCATCATCCATAATAGAAAAGTTAATTGTAATACTGTCGATTACGCTATGGCGCCCTTGTATTCTGAT